TATTAATTATTAGTAAGTTAATTAGTTAACGAGAACCTTAAATATATGAAAAGTTCGTTTGAGAAATTTAAATAATAATATTGAAAGTTGGTTTCTTGAAATAAAAATTATGTCAAAGTTGGTTTCATTTTAATGCAATGTTTCTTAAAACAAAATATGTTGCATTTTATATAATTTGACTTAAATTATAATATTTTAAGTATATTATTTTATCTTTAATTATATAATCTTTCAATAACATTGGACATGTTTTACAAATTATATTCGTGTGTGTATATATATATATTTAAAATTTTCACTAACTTATTAAATTTTATTATTAATTACGTAATTTAACACAAACATTTCATAAATTACATTAGAAAACAAGTAAAAGAATTTGCATGTGCATTTTAAAGATCATAATTACCGTAACTTTTGCATAAATTTTGAATTAAGGAGTATTTTTTTTAATCCAAGATTTGTTTATAACAAGTAAGTAATTTTATTTCAGTTATCTATATTTTAGTTTGAATGATTATTTTGTATTTCTTTTCACTTGTTCCATATTATTAATGATTTTTTTAATTAAATGTATTATCGTGTTTAATATCAATTAAAAAGTTTTAACTAGATCATACTATTTTCTTTTTTATATTTCAATAATTTTTACATAATTAATAACAGTAACATATTTTATTTTTAAATATATAAAATATTTCGATTAGTAACGAAATACACAAAATATTCAATTTGGAAAATGAGTGATAGAAAGCGAGATGCCATTTTGGAGTGCTAATAGCCTGAAGATTGAATCGTCGACTTGGAAAGGGGAAGAGGTGAAGTCGGATACGTACGAGAGGAAGAGAAAGGGGGGGGGGGGAATCAAATAATTAGGAAAATAAACCCTTGCAGATGAGAAGGTAGCATCGCTAACGTGTATATCTATACTACCTTATTAAGCAAATTCACTAAAAGTCTTAAAGTCTTAAAATTATAAATGCCCAAAATACCCTTATGTATCTATCTATACTACCTTGTACTGCATAAAGACTTAATTACATCTTAGTTATGCATATGGTACAACTTATCGATGCAAGCTCTCTCCTCCCAAAGACCGGCCCACTCCAACCATTCATTCCCAAGGCGACGTTTCACAAATTCGTCTTCCAAGATGACGATTGAAGCTCCCAATTTTATGATTCCTTGTCCAAATCCATCTTCCCAACATATATGGTTAGGTTAGGGTTATCTCGGTCCTTATTATTCATCGATTTCTTTCATCTTCCCCATATATATTTTTCAGTTTTGTTGTTTTTCACTGTTGTTTTGATCGAGCCCTATCACTGCTATTCTCTCTCGGACTACATTGTTGATTTGCATCATTGACCTAGCTCTCGAAATGCAGAGTGACCTCATACATATCTCCTTCTCTCAAATAYACACGCACACTGAAGCTTCAGCTTCAAATGCATGTTAAATCTGCGATGTTATGTGTTCTTTTACCTTTTGAGTTTTATTATTTATGTTTCTCGATTTTTTTTGTTTTCATTTGCCTTGTGTGCTGCCTGTTTATTTGTTCCAACTGATTTGCTCTTTTTGGTATTGCCTCTATTGTAGTCAATGTTAATGGTTTATAGATGCTTTTGACACAGAGCAAATGCTAGAGTGCATTGAAAAACTCAAACAAGGAAACCCAGTTCATCTTCCAATATATGACTCTAAAAACCACCGCAGATGTTCCGAGTCCTTCCGCCAAGTATTTCCTTTTGAACATGTTATGTTGTTTTAAGTATTCGGTTGAGTTATGTATTTTCAACTATCTAGACAAATTTACGTTTATGAAACACATTTCATTTAGGAGCTGTTTCTTTTTCTTGACTTCTAAACTAGAACGGTATTTCTTATTTTGTAGAACTTGCTAGGGTTATATTTTACGGCTTAAGCAGGACTGTGTTAAATATTCTCCATTTTTCCTCAGGAAATGCATTAAATGGTATTAATTCCCTTTAAGGTTGTTGATTGCAGAATCTTAATAGTGTGTATCTCCTCCCTTTAAATGGTATACAGGCAACCTGGACTAGAGGCATAGTGCCCCTCCATTTTATGAAGGAATAGAAGAGGGCTTTATCATTAAATTTATCTTCTACATCTGTATGATTGATACATTTTTTAAACCAATTGAGAGGCCACCTTTGGTAATTGTGAATTTTGGGCCAACATTCTTAAATCAAAGAGCTGTGTTTGACTTTTAATTATACCTAAAACTCTAAAGTTTATGTTACTTAATCTAATCTGTATTTGTGTTTGATTTGTAAAGTTTATCCCAACTAGAAAATGGCAAAATCTTAGGATTACGATGATTGGCTACTGATTAGTTAGTTATCTTTTACTTTTTTCAAATGGAGGTGTAATACACATGGAATGATCAATAGTTGTCATTGTAACATGTAACCTTACTTGACAATCATTTMTGTTGGYTGCTTCCWTGAAAGCTYCTGGCTTGTSTAAAAGTGAGCAAYGTTTAGTAAYTGKTTCAACAATTTTATCAGTGAGATGAGATTTCTAGGTGAAATCTTGGATTGCATCAAAGTAGTTAATGAATATAACGTTGAAATGGGATTAGTTTGAGACCATTTTTATCTTCCCTGCTGACTTTGGACAGGGTGTCGTCAATTCTTGACAGTTTTACCTATTTTTTAGTATGAGTTKATSTCCCAATTCTAYATGCACAGGTTGCTTGTTGTATTCTGTGTGATCATCATGGTAAATTATGTGGATCGAGGAACTATTGCGAGTAATGGTGTGAATTGGAGTCCCAGAAGTTGCACAGAGACTGGTGTGTGCTCAGATGGTAGTGGAATTCAGTAAGCCTTACTTCTACACTATATTTTGTTACTTTGTCCCTATATTTCCGGTGGCAAGGGCACACTCATGTGTCGATCATGCCGTTTTCTATTTGTTCCTATCGTTGATTTTTTGTCTATGCTTCAGCTAAACACGTTACAAATACTGTAACTTAAGTGTCAGACGATCTTACTGTCTACTCTAAGATTGAATGGCCATGTAATAGACTAATATGAAATTAGAGAAATAAAATTGATACAAAGGTAAGGTTTCTCATTTTTCATCTGGTTATAGGTTCTAACATATTCACTAATTACATTTTGCCAACTGACCTGTCCTGTTTTTTTTTCTTTTCAAAATGCTTGTCGGGTGATGTAGATACGGAAGGTTTGTAAGCCTTCTTGGATCATCCATCACCAAAAACAAATAAAAAAAAAGAACTATAAATGTAAAATGTAGGAATGCTACAAGTGGTAATGGCAAAAGCAGAAGGGCAGCAAAAGAAGCAGCCCTTAAATTAACTAAATTGACATTTTCTATTTCCAAATTGTCAACAATTATAAGCACTTGAGATGGGGAAAATAAAAAAAAATCTGAAAACCATTTAGGTGTGCTGAAATACCATCAATGCAATGATGTATAAAGACCAGAATAATAGACTAAATACACTAAGGGGCCGTTTACCAAACGCTTACCCGCATAAGTGAACATCAAGTCACATTATCTTACCGGATGAATACGGTAGTGACTAAAAATCTTACCCAGTAAAAGCGAGACAAGAACTAAGAGTCTTACCCGGTAAATGAGGGCGACGACTCTTACCACGGTAAACGCGTACCGGATAATTTGTTTTATGCGATATTGTTTTAGTAAACTAAAATCTTACCGCGGTAAGTAAACGATAATGTTAAATTTTAACGGTAAATGTTTACCGGATAAGTATTCGGTAAACGGCCTCTAAGTTGGGGCTCTAAGCTTTCATGTCGGTCTTCATTTTTATCAATTGAAAAAGATGTGTGTTAACCACATGAAATACTTTATTTGCAATGCCTGTTAACCAATTCAATCGAGGTATAACAATGCCAGTTAACCACATGAAATACTTTATTTGCAAGTTGTTGCCATAGAGGTGGCAGAATAGGTAGAGCGAACTGATTGGTTAATGGGCCAAAATACGTAAGTTTCAAATACTGTCAAGAACTGTGCATTTGGTAAACGCTAAACCGGGTAAGCGTTTGGTAAACGGCTCCTTAGTTCATCAAGATAGTATTATATGCAACAATTTATCTGCTAATGCTAACAGGGTAAGACTCTTGATCCTTGCTATTACTTTTACCAGGTAAGATTTTCTGTGTTTTCATGTTCATCCGACAAAGTAAATTGACCTGGTAAACACTTACTAAGTAAGCGTTCGGTGAACAACCATAAGTTCTTTTTATCAATTAGACTATACATTCAAAGTAAATGCCACACATCCCTAAGCCATTATGTACAAATGTGTTCACAATGAAATCATACATCCCGCCGCATTGTGCGGGCACACAACTAGTCATGTATAAAGTGTTGTAATCAAGAAATTTAAGACTTTGAGCATAAAGGAGTAGTACATCGTGTATTTAAGGTTGTTTTTAGAACTTTATCAAATGTACTTTATAAAGTAGTATAGACCTTATGTCGGGGACTTATATATATGGATAAAAGTCACCTCTCGAATTTTTATGTTCCGTTTATATTCAACAATCATATGAATATATATGACAGGATAAATTTTTTTTGAACTTGAATAAAAATAAGTTTTTTAAATATATAAAAATCTTGTTTGTCTTTATTTCATTGGTTGGATAAAATAAATTTGTTTTGGAATATCTATTGAAATAAAAATTCTTAAAATATTCATATTGAAGAATTTGTTTGAGATGCTCGAAATCAATTCAAGCCAAGAGATAATTATTACACATTTAAATAGATATAATGTTTTTTATAAATGTTATTTTGGTAAAACAAATCCATATTTGTATTTACTCGTCGTTAATCATACTAATTACGTTGATTTCATAAATCATTGTTCTTAATTACGTGTAATTTCAAGCATGGAATATCGAACGATAATATAATTAAAAAAAAATTAAACAATCAAACAGTGAAAAATTAATAAAGAAAGTAGGAACGTGTTTCAATCTAATGATATTTCCAATATGTATGTGAAAGAATCATGACGTCATAATACTATCAAAAATCACCTGTCTACCATGTGCACTATTTACACTTTGATGCAATATCTCATTACCAATTAAAACTTCAATTTCTTAATCTCATCTCACTGAGATCCAGCTGTTTCCAACCGACCAATCAGATGCCTCATCGGTCATCAGCTGCCGTAATCTATTCTCCGGCGAGATACATGCATCTTCTCCAATCCAAAAATCAAATACCGGCGAGCAAAATGGTGTCACCGGAAGCGGTTTCTCTGATTCCCAATCGGGAAAATCAAATGGGTTTCTTGGAGACGTTGATGGGATTTGATCCTGACCCTCGATGAATGGATGGTTTAGAAGCATCTCAGCCGTCCATCTTTGATTCGGGTCTTTCACGAAACACTTTCTGATGAAATCTTTTCCCGCTTCTGATAATTTCCCGGGAATGTCTGGAATTTCGGCGCCAACGCCAATTTTCATCAAAAGCGGTCCGATGTCGGAGCACGTCCACGCTGGCTTTCCGGTGAACATCTCCAACACCAAACATCCAAGTGCCCATATATCCGACGCCGCTTCTTGCTTCCCTCCGGTAACTGTCTCCGGCGCCATATACATTGGCGTACCCCGTAATTCGTACTTTGACTTTGAGTTTGACTCCTCCGCTGACTTCTTCGCTAACCCGAAATCGGCGATCTTAACGATGTCGTTTCCACCGTCGCAGAACAACAGAATATTCTGAAGCTTGATATCACAATGTACAAATCCATTCCGGTGAATAAAGTGAATACCTTGTAAGATCGAATTGGTGTACCGTCGGACATCAGATTCCGGCAACCTTAAATTCTCCGAGTTCTTCACTCTATCAGCCAAGGAGCCGCCGGAAGCATACTCCAATGTGACATTATACAGTTTTTGGCCGTTTTCTACTGTGAAACAGTCTCCGTAACACCTAAGAATCCCAGGGCAATCCTTGAGTTCATCCAAGATCATACGCTCTCTCATCAACGAAGCAGACTGAGACACAGCGCATGTTTTGACCGCCATTAATGACGGTAAAGATGAACTCTGGGTTGTGGGTTTTGCCAAACTTACAGTTGCAAAGCTTCCATGGCCGATTGCTTGACCTCTCACCCACTCCATGTGCTTTGTCTTTCTAAAAACCAGAAGTTGAATTGGGGAAGAACAGCAACCGGAATTACGGTATATATAGGATGCAGATTGGATTTTTATATGGAAAGTAAAGTAATTTTAAAATTGGTCACAAAGAGCGCGTGATTGTTGAGGATATTTATTAAAAACGTGGTTTATTTGGCGGTCACCAAATTTATTCTTCTTTTCCAAGTGTATTTGTTAAATAATATATAAAAATATACGCCATTTTAAATTAATTTTATAGTCTCGAAATTATTGATATGGTATGAATCTCGTAAGAGACTATTATAAAGGAAAAGATTTTGAAAGATTTATCGAATCGAATTTACAACTTAATTAACAGATTGTGATGGTATTAGTTGGTTGATTAATGCAAAAGCATGGTTCCAAACAAATAGAAAAATTAATTAAAATAGTTATTTTCAGCCATTAGTTTTACCGCTTAACCATATTATTTCAAGATTTACTAAATTAACTATAAGTCTGTAATACTTTAGGTTCGTAATTGCGGACCTAGCTAAAAAACAATTTTTTTAATACTTTTAGTCTTTGTCCGCAATATTCTAGGTTTGTAATTACAAACTTGGCTCTGAAGATTGAAAATTTACAATTTGTGCCTAGGTTTGTAATTGTGAATCTACTATATTGCGGACCTACCATGTGTCGAGCTAGGGTTGAAAATTTACAATTTCTATCTAGGTTCTTAATTGTTACTTTAATTAATTTTCCCAAACAAATATCGTATTTGTGGCATGAAAAAAATATTTTCCATATTTTAATATGTAGTTAGAACAAAGCTAATTTTCTTACGTATTTTTCGATTTCCTTTTTTACAGGAATATATTCAATAATTATACACGGTTATATTGCTTATAGTAAAAAACTAATTATCAAAGATAATGGAAGTTTGGCGCCAAATTTCAAATATTAACTTGAAACAAATATATGTAGAGAAGAATATGCAACCACCTCTATTTATACAAACCGTCATCATCTGTCGATTTCGTTGATGAAGAAAAAAAATATATAATTGTTTTATATAATACTTCTTTTGATGAAGTTGTTTCATATATAGTTATGAAATTTTAATGAAACTTTATCATTTTATATTATTTTTATTTACCTAACATAAATACATCAACAAATATAATTTCTATTTGTCTCACTTTTTTAATTAAATCAACATTTTATTTACACAATATAAATACGTCAATTATTTTAATTGTGTTTTATTTAAACATGTAATTTTGACTACTTACGAGACGGAAGTTTGGAAACATATCTTGACAAATTCTTTTGAAATACCTGATTAAATATTTTAGATCTTTTTAGGACACACTAATCCATAAATAAGCATGGGAATTGAACTCGATCCGTTGGGGAATTCAATCCACCCGTCCTAGTCGAGGACGGAGATTCCCCGTTAAATCGGGTCTCAGGGACGGTGGGATCCCCGTTTGGCTCAAACCAGGGATAGGGACGGGAACGGGTATTACCCGTCCCGTATCCATTGGCGGATTCACAGCAAAGGGGTAAGGGGCACAGGCCCCCAACAAACCCCAGGAGTAGTTTATTTGTATTTTTATTTTTGTTAACCTAAAACTATTAATAGGCTCGGAACAAATATAAGTTAGACTCAATTCTAATACTTGTCATCTTATTTAGAACTCTTACTTGAATGAGTTATTACTTGATCAATTAAACTCTAATTCCTCTAACTTCTAAGTGTCAACCCGTTAAAATTCATTTTATTTCTCTTGTTTTGTTTGCTATAATACTAATGAATAAGTTATTTTTATTCAATTAAAGTTGACCTTTAAGCCGAAAACCGAATAACCCAAAATCGTATTGATTTGAAAGAGTTATTCGGTTTTAGATTTTTTTTTACATCCTTAAAAGGTGCCCCCAATAATAAAAGTTTATGGATCCGCCATTTGCCCGTATCCGTATATATATATTAATTAAGAAATTATATTATATTTTATTTATTTGTATTAAATCGGTAAATGGTAATTTCTATTTCAACATATTTTGGATATTACTTAATATGTTTTGGTACATGTAATGTTAATTTTTTAGATTAAGTTTAATTTCATTTTGGTTTTCGATTTATTAATTATTATATGATGATATATATTCTTTGTATTAAATTTATTTCTTAGGTTTATTTGAAAAAAGTGAGATTAAAACATGTGTAACGTATCATACATTTGATTTAAAAAAATTACACAAACAGAAAAAAAATCTTGTTTCTCCGTTGGAGAAGGGGATGAGGATGTGATCAAATTCCCCAATGGGGATGGGGACAAAGATGGGGGATTAAGGACGGGGGCAAAAATGAGGGATTGGGGGCGGGACAAAGATGAAGGATTGAGGACGGGGACGATGATTGGGATATCTACCCCATTATCATACCTATCCATAAAACCAATCTTTTCGGTCTATAACAATCTGATTATTTTCAAGCAAACATTTTTTGCTGTTCAAAATAGTTTAAAAACAATCCTTGCATTTTTAAAATAAATATTGACTTAATTCAGAAAATATAAAAGACTTGAATTTTGTATAAAATTATTATTTGTAGAAACTTTTTAATTTTTAATTTATTTATAAGATTGATCTAATTTTAAATCGTATAATATCTTCTGTTATTAATATTCCTTATAAAGGCAAGCTTACGACGTCTTAGCTTGAATTTTATCCTTTGTATGATGCATCTAAACAAATAATAGAGCGACACATGTCTTGAGTCGATTTTATCATTTATTGAAAGTCACGACTTTATATGTAATTGAATTTCAAAGCATAAAATACTTTGAATTATTTATCGATCTTCAAAATATATAAGATTCTCAAAAATGTGTATTAGGGGTGCAAACGTTTATCAACAAACGTTATCATTTTACTTACTTTATCGGATAACATTTTTTCGATCATCAAAATGAATTGTTGATAAAGATCTTTTACCCGGTAATCGTCGATGACGTTTACGGGGTATGATTTCCTGTTGCTATATCTTTTATCATGTAATATTCTCATTTTTTGTCATGTTTATCCATTAAGATAAGCGACATCCGGTAAATGTTCATCTAAAAAGTATTTTGTAAATGATCCTTGATTTATTAACGTGAAACCATATACTTAGATCGACAATTACAAATCGATAGATATTGTTAAGAAAAGAGCAGAATCGATATCAAAGAATGAGAATGTTACATAACCTTTGTGATCATGTTTTGTGATGCAATGAATCTTTTGATTTTAAATATTGAGAAAGATAGGATAAGGAATAATAGCACACCCAACAATGCCGCCTTTTTTCCAAAATTATTGGACGCCCATTTACATAAAGGTCCATGGGCGGCTCTAGTAGATGCTGTATTTGATGATTGATAGGCCAAAAAGGATATAATAGAAGAATATCTGGTTGACGTTAAATACAATTATATAACCTATTGATTATATGCATCTCGACTAATCTCAGGAGCCTTGGAGAACAGTCAAGAAAATCTCGAATGATTTTGTAGAAATAGAACAGATGACCTTTGAAGAGAATCTCTGAACATCTAAATCTTACTATCGGTTGAGTTATCCCATGAAATTTGTTAATTGATAATTTTGTTGTTTATTTTACCGTTTGACATTTGTTTTTTTGGAATTAGTAATAGTTTGGATTTAGTATGTTGTCCAATAAATGGAGAAATATTTTATAATCAAGCTAATAATAATAAAAATCTTCTGACAGATCTGACTCTTTGTATGTTTATCCATAATTTCTCGTATCGTCAAATGCATGATTCGAATAAAAATGAATAATCGAGCCAACACATATATAAGATTAGCCACCAAAACAACATAGTTGATTGATCACGTCATATTTAGATATTCCTGCAATTCAATTATGGAAAACAATGAGTTGATCAAATTCATCTGCTTAACAATCATTATGAGATGATGTATGTATATAATTCTATGTTTTTTGTCGGGATCTCGATAATTGGTTCTTAAAAGATTGAAGATCGAAAAGTTAAAGTTGATGATGATGATGATGATGGAGTATATATGATGTCATGGGATAAGTAAGGAAAGCATTCATGGAAATTGAAGGTGCATGTAACATGGATAAGTACAACATCCATACGTACCCCCAATAACCCATATACAAAAAGCTTCCGAATTATGTAAGTTTTGATTATATATTAGAAGATCGAAATATCTTAGGATATGCGTATGAAATAAATATTATTTTATATTATAGATATTTTTCATATGAAAGACGTTTAACATTAAAAATATAACAAGTTAATGCATAATGTATGCTAGTAAAATATATTGACCATTTGCAGTTGCTGAATAATTTGATGTACAATGATTAAGAGTCTCTTATAATATAGTGTAAAATGAAATATAATTATTTAGTAATTGTCTACTATGGAATTAGAGCGCTGAATTGTTAATGAAAACCCAAGATACAAAATAATTCCGAGGGTTTAGAATCATTAGCCAGACAAATTTTTTTTTGTCAAACAAGATTCACCTATTAACGATTCAGATTTTGCTTCATAATGAAACTATTAAGAGGTAAACAAAAAACCTCTAATATTAATCATCTGTGTTATCATAAAAATAAAAAAAGTCGAGACAAAATATGAAGGAGCTATGAAAGCGGAAATGATTGGATTTAGGTCCTTTAGGAACATATGGAAGATTCACTTAATTTGAACATGTAAAAGCTATAAAAGTCTTTGTCGTTTTAAGTTGGCATTAATGAGGTGAATGTTATGGTCATAATCTCCAACTAAATTTCGGTACGAGTGATTAGACTGTTTTTCTTAATGCTAAAATAAATATCAACCATCAAAAAGGACATCACATATCTGTAAATGTATAACATTGCACTTTTTAACCGAGTAAACTCTTATTAATAGAGAGAGTAACAAAAAAAATTCATTTTATAGTTAAGGTTATGTTTGACAAACTAGCTGATAG